TAGTCTTAATGAATTATGACTTTCAGTTAACCGTTGTCGGGGTAAATATTCACTATGTGTTGTACCAAATAGTCGAATACTATAGTAATAATAACGATATGCTTGCAAAACCCAATCGTCCACTTCAAACATAACATCAATATAATTCTCAGATAGAGCAAAATGATGAGAAAATTTTAAACCCATTACGTTAGCTGGAGCAGGCCCAGGGCAGCCGACCTTGCATGTCCACCACCACCGCTACTAGCCAGTATTCTACGAATAAATAGAACGACAAATATGGCCGGCGTTAAGGCCTTCATCCTGTTCTATCGCTTGTCTAAATTATCATTCACCGATATTGAAAAAGCGGTCAGAGAGGAACACAATATTGCCTTTATTTAATAGCTTTCATTAAACAAACTAGTCAACATGTTGTTGTAAAGGTTACAGATATATCAAAAAGGAAAAAAATATATTTTGTTGAATCAAAAATGCCTTACACTTTATTACTGCCATTCAACTTTATCAAATTCCATTGTGTGTAATGTATTAAGAATAATCGTAAAACATGAACGAAATGTCATGTGATGTGTTTTTTAAATGTAATTATAAGATTAATAATTCGGTATGGCATCAGACTTATAAGTCTAGAAAACTCCATGTTTGATTCTCTATATAACGATTCATTTGCTCAGTTCTAAGTCATACAGTTCATTTATAATACATTTTATATTATAGTTCTTTTTCACACATAGGGTATTGTGTATTGCAGCCAACAAAATACACCTTGCCACTGGTAGTCTTGATAGAAACATCAAAATATGGTTAATAAATTCTGGCAAACTTGTACATACCCTAATTGGACACATAAAGGGCGTTTGGTGTGTGAAGTTTTTATCTAAATTATTAATTATTAGTGGTTCATACGATTTGAGCATTAAGGTTAGTAACTACAGTTGTACTTGACACTCCCGTGACTGATAAAACTGATGAACTTTTAGATATGGAATATAATATCAGGAGTATGTGTACGAACGTTGTTGTCACATAACGGACCTGTGTGGACATTAGCTTGTCAAGGAAGTTATTTTGTGAGCGGTTCTCAAGATCGAACATGCAAAATTTGGAAACTACCAAATTGTGATTTACAAGCTACTCTCACTGGTCATTCGTCTAGTATTTTTGGTGTGGATATCAATGTAGAACAAACAATTGTGGCAACCGGATCGGCTGACAAGACAATTCGACTTTGGCGGGTTAATAATGGATTGTGCTTTAAAACGATTTACACAAATACGAATGACTATGTGATGAGTGTCTCACTTCAGAATGATTATTTGGCCTGTGCTTTTGGCGTACATGTGATGATTTATAAATTGAATTTTACATCTAGTAATTTGTGCACTGTTCAAAAAATAATGGAAACACAAGAACATCGTAGTCGGTATAAGACTTTACAGAATAAGCCATCAAGTTATCGTTTATTGTATTTAATCTATTATTATTCTAGTGTCGAAAGTGTCCAATTGAGTGTTCAAAATGGTGATGATACACGAGAAATGTGCTTAATTTCTGCTGGAAAAGATGGTTTAATCAAATACTGGAATTTGAAAACGTAAAGTAGAATTTATGATTTTTTATGGAAGATATCATAGTTATTTACGTTGTTGTTATTGTAGGAATCAAAGCTTACATACATTCAGTGTTCATAATGATACCACCATAAATTGTGTTTATTTTGATCATGCTAGAATAATCACAGCCGGCGATGATTGTGCCGTTAGAATATTAAACTTTATGCCTTCATCGTTATCATCATTGGCATTTAATTCAAATAATGTTTTTCGATATTTTTCGATGTAAATTTTATCAAATATATTTTTGTTTAGTTGCAATACATTATTAATAATCCTCTCACTGTTAACATTTCTGCTTATGGGTCTGTCAGGTCCTGTTTTATTTATCGATACAACCCTCTATGCATAGTTTTTTTCAATTGGTATTTTCTGATGTGCGGTACGATCACATGACTCTGCTATCGGAGCGGAAATTTCGACACAGAGCTTTGATATTTTGTTCTAATAAAATTTTTCAACAAAAGAACAGGCGAAGCAACGGAACATTTGAAATTGTAAAGCAAACTTGTGTAAATAAAATGAGATGTTTCCAGTAAAAACGGATATCACATATTTTCGTTATATTTTTAAAACAAAATATGACACAGAGCCTAAAGATACCTTATTTTATTTGTATATGTTTGCCCTATAAATTCTAGATATTGCGCATCTCTGACTGCTCTTTTGTGGAAAAACTAGAAGAAAGAACTATCAAAACTTGAGTAGCAGAGTCAGCTGGCTGTGCCGAGTAACTGAAGCCGAAACTCTACATTCTAAAACAGATTATACCATTTGGGTATCAAAAAAATATATCTACATAGGTCTCGAATGTAACACGCTTGAATACTTTACTTTATATGTCTTTCCCAGGTCCAAGGATTAGATAACAAGATCTTGGAAGATCTTACAAGATCATATACGATCTTGGGTGATCGTATAATAAGAAATCATAAGATTTCAAAAGATCTTATCAATTCTTATCAA